CCGACGGAGGTGTTACCATAAAAACCATACTCTTGCATCAATTTTGGAGAAGCCATTTTCTTACCTGGTACCAGGTCATCTCTAGACTCTGTCCATCACTTTGGCAGCTGAGACTGGGACAATAAATGGAGTCAGTGCTACCCAAAAGAAGGTATTTCTTATGTGGCACAGGATTCACACAGGATATGTTTGTCTTGGGCTTAACTTCTAAGACCATCTTAACACAACAGGCCTCATCCTGGGGTCTCCTAGGAGAGTTAACAAGGTTTTGTGAACATAGATATTATATCCAGACAATATGGAATTTGGGAATGTTTTCAGATAGGAATGCATTGGGGACGTACCTAATCCTGGGTCTACAAATATAGGACCCAGCATTGTTCATCTCCATGGTCAAAAAACGTAGGGTATTTTTGTCCAGAATGATGTGAGAATAGTTTTTAGTAATTTCCCTTAATGTATCCCCATTTTGAGGTTGCAGATACCACTGAACGTCAGATACGTCGTTACTATCACTGCAGGGCAGGTATGCAGGACCTTGGGTTGGTGAGTGTTGATTTCTGTCATAGAAATGGGATTTCTGTGGCTTTGGTAATTCACAAAGTAAGATAAACTCCTCCTCACTCCTTGCAGAATATGTCCAAATAATTTTTTTGGTGGAGCAATCTGAAAACCCCAATAAACAAAGCAACACAGAAACACATTAGAAGATGAAACTCTAACATATTTACAAAGAGTACTTGTGTGTCGTTCCTCTTAGTGACGTTCCCATTTTGCAAGGGCAAAAAAAGCTCACATTCTAACTCCCTCCCAGTGGACTTCAGCATCACCAGTAGCAACAGCTATTTCCTGTTAAAAGTGGCTGAACCACCCCTCATTCCCTTTCCACCCCTCCCACTGAACACCAGCTATGATAACTGGGTTCCCCATCAATGCTCGGTATCAGCTGAAAGCTGTGCACCCCAATAATTTCTCCTCCTACACCCACCTTAACAGTAAGAAAGAAATGTGCTATATTAGTAGGTCATGTGGCTGATATATCAGATTATCTGTCACTTTAAACTTTGACCACAAGACTCACGGTATTAACGTGAAAAGCGAAAACCCCTACCTGAAATATTAAATCCTTTAATTCTCTCTCCTGCAACAAGCCAGAGAAATATCCATCCCAAACAGAGCATT